AAACAAAATTAGAAAATGCTCAGTATAATTTCCTTCCAGAAGATTTTACAGCAGGGAACAAAAAGATAATTCTTCTATAACATTTGAAAGAAGACTCACAGCCCAGCTGGTGTGACTTGAGTGGTTGAGCGTCGACCTGTGAACCAGGAGGTCACAGATCCGATTCCTGGTCAGGGCACATGCCCAGTTTGCAGGCTTGATCCCCAGTGTGAGGCATGCAGGAGGCAGCCTATCAGTGATTCCTTCTCATCACTGATGCTTTTACTCTTTCTCTCTCCCTTCCTCTCTGAAATCAATAAAAATATATCTTAAAAAAAAAGACTCATAGTATGATCATGGGGATATAAAGTACAGCATAGGGAATACTGTCAATAATATTGTAATAACTACACATGGTATCAGATAGGTACTAGATTTATCAGGGTGATAACTTAGTAAGTTATATAATGTCTAATCACTGGGGTATACACCTGAAACTAATATAATATTGTATGTCAACTGTAATTGAAAAATAAAAAATTACAGTAAAAAAAAGACTCACAGCATCGAGCTAACCAACTGAGGTAAATGTAATCATTTTTTAACTTCTCACTTTGTATTAAAAGGAAAACCTGCAAGAAGAGGAAAGAAAGGGAATAAACATGAAGATGGTTTTGCAGTAAAAACATTCATATCTGCTTATCTTACATTAATGTTTAACATAGCCTTATAAATGATCAAATTCTACACAGGCTGCTAAGATAGTGAAGGACAAAATTGTGGTGATCTTAACATACTTCTCTGGTATTGATATCACAAGCTGACAAAAGGTTGGTAAGGATATAAAAGACTTGAACAAAATAATTAACAACTGTACAATACATATTATTTTCAAGAATGCATGATCATGCTACTGGGCAATTTTAAAGGGTTGGTGTTACACAGACCACATTCTGTGACCACAATACGATTAAGTTAGAAATCAAAATTTAAAACCTGAGAAGGATAATGCATGCTTGAAAATCATAAAGCATTTTAAAATAACTCAGTCAAAAAAGGAATCATAATGGAAATTAGTTGAATAATTTGTTGAATAACAAAATTCAATTGAATAATTCAACTGAATTATTTTGAATAATTTAAACAAATCACTCTATGAAGTTAGAAGCAAGATCATTGTTAGCCTTATAGTAAAGAGATTGATTCAAAGAGGGGATGAGGAGGTTTCTAGGATTATGATAATATTCTGTTTCATGATTTGGGTTCTAATTATTTGAAAAATCCATCTAGCTATATGCTTTGATTTGTATACTTTTCTCCATTTATATTATGCTTTTATAAAATTTATCAGAAAAGGAGAACATTCATGTGGTCATAAAATCCATATACCTATTCACATTGTACTTTCTAATGTGACCTAAGAAAAAAAGAAACTTTTACTAGTCCTTTACCCTTGAACATTTTATTTCAGTGAGAAAAAAGCAACAATGTTTTTAGACAGAATCATTCGAATGCCTTCCAAAGCAGGTACCCACCTCTTCACCCTCACTGGTATTGCCTGTTGCAGCTTTGGCTTGGGCATAATTAAAGTTAAAGATGTCATCATTATAGAAGTAACTCTGAAAAACATCCCAAGAACAGGTCACATTGAGCATTACCATATAAAATAGAAAAACATGTTATACAAGATAAACACAAAAATAAGCGTAAGGAATTAGCTGATGCCACCAATGCCTCCATAATAAAAAGGCTATCTCTAAGAATATCTTCTCTCCGACATATTATATATAGTATTTTGTACACCAAGTCATCTAGAAAATTCTATACTGACCTTAAATGAGTTGAGGTAAATCAGAACATCATCAAATTGCTTGAGCAGGAAGAAACAGGACGCCATGCACTGTCTCCCTGGTATTGTATCTGAGATGGAATGGGAACAGACACCATGTCTATTCAAGAAACTAAAAGGCATCTTTAGCAGAAATTTCAGTTATTTATAATTTAGAGATAGGAATGTATTACCAGACAGTTTTCTAGATTCTGAAGTTACAGATTCTGTTTCGTGAACAAAACCTCAGCATAATGGAGATCACAGTACGTCAGAGTGACCAATAATCTCTCTCCATGTTGACTCTGAGTTCAAAATGAACACATGCCCTGCAGGCTACAGTATTCTCCAGATCACTTTTTATTTTCTTGCCCAGCTCTGACACCTGCACATACAACTAATGTGGCGCGGTCTCCATCGTAACTCATCTAAGACAACCTAGCCCTTTTTAAAAATATATATTTTTATTGATTTCAGAGAGGAAGGGAGAGGGAGAGAGAGATATAACATCAATGAGAGAGAATTATTGACTGGCTGCCTCCTGCACGCCCCCACTGGGGATCGAGCCCACCACCCAGGGAATGTGCCTTGACCGGGAATCGAACTGTGACCTCCTGGTTCATAGGTTGATGCTCAACCACTGAGCCACACTGGCCAGGCAACCTAGCACTTTCTATCTCAAATGGAGAATAAATTTGCCATGGAACCACCTGATCCTGATCCTGACCCAACCGTCTGTCTGATATCATATTCCTATTTGAGGCAGCAGATGTTTAGTGTAACCTCCACACTTGCCATTGGCACTCCCAATCCTCCTTATTCTCTTTCTGCTCAGTTTTCCCCATAGCAACTCATCATAGTCATATATACTATATAATCTATTTATTTTTTATGTTTATAGTCTGTCACACTAGACCGTATGTTCCACAAAAGAAGGGGGATTTTCATTTGGTTTACTGCTATATCCCCAACACCTCAATAAATTTTTGTAGTATGAATGAGTGAAATGGGGAAAGGAAATATTATTTGATAAATGGTTTTGGTGAAATATTTGGGAAAAAATCCAGGGGTGATAAAAATATCTAACAACCAGTTCAGCATGAACACATCATCAGAATAGATGCTGGCCATAGACAATTGGTACAGACAGCCATACCAGTTCACACTGGTTATGGGCCCTTTTTATAGCTCTTCCTCAAGTCTTACACTGAATCTTGACTGATGAAATCAATACTTTAATAACAGAAACAAAGCCACAAAACAAATTGTGGGAAATATGGGTGAATATTATATAACTGCAGGGGTCAAAGCACTGTCTAAGCTTGATACCCATGTTAGAATTCATTATGGAGAGGATAAACTTAATTAAATAAGGTTTAAATAGTTTAATATTAGAAAAAATATGATAGGCAAAGTTAAAAGTCAAATGACCCACTGGGAAAAAAAAATCTATAAGAGCTCTTGAAAAATCAATTAAAGTTACCATTTCAAATAAAAAAAAAAAAAACAGAATAAAAAACTCATAAACTAAAGAATATATTTATTCTCCTCTATTTCTAAATTCTCTCATCCCACTCCAGCTGAGATGCTGAAAAGAGCTAATTCCAATATTCTCTCCTTTGTCTGACTTCCCACCTTATAATGGGAAACCTAACAGATGTAGCACTTATTCTTATTCTTTTTAGAATGTTAGATGAATAATATTTTATTTATTTAAACGAGGCATGGGGCCCGCCGGCTGTGAGTTTGACATGCTTGCCAAAGACTCAAACTTGACCAGGCAGTATACAACCAGCTCAAATTATGGATCATGTTCATAAGTACATATTTCAGACATACCACATTCACTAGCTGATCCTCCCACCAACTGGAAGAACTGCTGGGCAATTTTCATATGATCCCTCTGAAAAACAAAGCAGAGCTTCTATAGAGGAATAAAATGAAAATATTTTATTTATATTATACTTTATGGTTTTAACATATTTATCAGGATTTAACACATACTCTTGTTTTAAATCCTCCCAAACAAAACCAATTCTGATTAGCACACAACTAGAAAATGATAACCTGAAACTGAATTAACACCTACTCTAGCAGGAGCCGGTTTGGCTCAGTGCATAGAGTGTCGGCCTGCAGACTGAAAGGTCCCAGGTTTGATTCCGGTCAAGGGCACGGTTGCAGGCTCCTCTTGGCCCAGGCCCTGGTCGGGTGTGTGCAGGAGGCAACCAATTGATGTGTCTCTCTCACATTGATGTTTCTCTCTCTCTGTTTCTCCCCCTCCCACTCTCTCTAAAAATCAATAGAAATATATCCTCGAGTGAGGATTAAAAAAAACAAAAGCCTACTCTGGGACAGATAGAAAACAAGAAAAAAAAAATCCATCCCAAAGTTCTATCCTAAAAGTACCTTCATTAAATGAACTCATTCATGTACTCATTCGTTCACTTAAATATTTATTGCTCTTTTACCATATATTAGAACTTGTAATATGACTATGGTCATAACAAGGAGTATTTATTAAACAAACTCATTCATATATTCAATAACTATTAATTGCCTATCTGTTAAATGAGGCTCTGTGAAGTGAGCTGGAGATAAGATTTATTTATATTCCACTTTGTTCCAAAAAGAACTTAATATTATTATTTAGAATATTAGAATTCTAAAAAATAAAAGAATTTTTATTCTTTTTAGAATGTTAGATGAATAATATTTAGATTAATAAGAGCTTAATTTTAGATACAGTTTTTGTATTTATAAAAAGCATTCCAATAGAAACAATTATTCCCATTTTACAGATGCCAAAATTATAGCTCAGAGCTGTACAATGTTGAAAAAAAAGTCACTGAAAGTAAGAATGAAGCTGTGCAATGATTAGATATATACACTGTTTAAAAATTGGGCTCTTTTTAAACAAAGCAACAATTCTTAGCATTAAAGACTTTTTTCTTTTTTTTTTTGTCTTTAACAGAATTCTTTTTACAATGAGACCTGATTGGGGGATATGGAGAAATGAGGGCTGCAGAAGAGCCTATTTGTAAGCTTGCTGCTGGTTGAAGGTTAACATTTGTTTTGTTTTTTTCCATACACTATAACTTGGCAAACTATAGATTACCAGTGATGTCATACTCACCGATCCCATTTCCTGGCCAAGGGCTGCATTGACCACTCCTTTGAGGATATACTCCTGGAAACATGCAATAACACTGATTGATTTCAAAGGAATGTGGAGCTATGAGATATCTTTCAAGTTAATTATTTGCAACAACTCAGTACTTGACATATATTATCAAAAGTTACCCAGAGTCTCTTTTCTCTGTTCTATCCCTGGCCTGAATGAAAGAATTAAGAGATTTTCATTTGGTTCCAGCAGGCAAGTGTCCATATAACAGAACTCACCATATTTGTAAATTCTCAATCTTAAGCAGAAATAACTCAGTGGGAACTTCTAGGAGTTAAGTTTTATTTCATTTCAATATAATGGAAACAAATTAACAGTAAAAATGTTTACATGATAATTTGTATCACCTTGTCAGCCACTGCCATTCTCTGTGACCATTTCATATACATTATCTCCCCTTTTCAATGCTATAGTAACTTTCCTTTGCTAGTGATTCTTTCTTTCTTTTCTTTTCTTTTCTTTTTTTTTAAAAAGTGTCCTCTAGTTTCCATCTGTAAAGCATTCTCTTTTGGAGTCCTAGGGCCTCACCTATATCCTTGTCAGACTTGGTTCTATTCTTTAACAGACATCCTCCTTAGCAGCTTTATCAATTTTTATATGGGTGCTCTCCCTTTTTTAAAGAAGCCTCATACTAGTAAAAAGAATCATACAGAAGATGCTAAAGCTTTTAATGCATTTGAGAAATATATCTGTTTAGACTTCATGGGCTCTTTCATTCCATAAGTAGAATGACTACTGTGTGCTTAGTGTACATAGCATTGGAGATACAATGCTGACACAAGGAGCTAATCATCAGGTGATGGGCGGAGACAAGTTGCAGGCAATTTACTAACGATATACCGGTAAGTCGTTGCTTTCATCAGAATTCTAGATTCCAGTATTTTTAAACCTCAACTCTTTGGGGGAAATGACCACATATAAGGGAGTTTAAAAATACCCAAAACCCCAGAACATTCATTCTTATATCAACAGTCTCACAAAACATTCCTAGATCAATATGTGGACTTTCCTGGGATTCCATAAGCAGTAATCTTCTTTAATATGCCTTCCAGCTATTGTTCCAAAGTTCCATTTTAAACAGAACTTGGTTAGTAAAAATATAACACGTTCTTAATTACCTGAGGAGTAGCAGGTTCCAGATCCTTGATTAAGTTATAAGCTTCTTGTACATCATCTGAAATACAAAAAAATAAGTAGCTATACTAGTCCATATTTCAGCAAACTCTTCTGAAACAGTCACCAAAAAGTAAGATCCTTCAGTACTCAAACATTCATGAGAATTATGATCTATTTTATCTGTCCTCTAAGCCTCTGTCAAGTTCAATGTTGAATAGTTATCCTAAAGATAACCAAATATCCTTAGGAAACCCATATTAAGCCATGTAGCACTTAAAAAATGTTCAAGCAAAAAATATAGATTGGGTGTTACATACCAATGACACTATAGTTATCTAAGAAAAACAACCATTTTTTAAAAATGTTTCACAACAATAAAAAAGATATATACAGAGGTGAGCAAAAGTAGGTTAAATTATCAATCATCATTACCTAAAAGATAAATCCTAAGTAAGGATAAGAAACAATAACAACAATAATAAGACAAATAATATAAATAAATATAATCATTAAATAAAATAATAATACAAGAATAAACTCTGTTTCGTGTACTCACAACTATAAACCTACTTTTGCTGACCCCTGTATTAAGCATGTAGGAGTGAAATGACATGAAGTCTGTGATTGGCTTTCCAACATCTCAGCAACAAAAAAAAAAAAAAAGAGGGAGGAGATGAAAAAAGACTGTCACTATCTTGAAAACCATTGAATCTGGGATGATTATGTGGGTGTCCATACTACTTTTGTTTATGTCTGAAAATTTTTATAATAAAAATTGACAAAAGATTAATTTATGAAATATATAAGATGCTTCTTTTTTTGTTTTATTTTTGTTAATCCTCATCCGAGGATATCTTTCCATTTATTTTTAGAGAGAGTGGAAGGGAGGGAAGGGGAGAAACAGAGAGAGAAAATCATCGATGTGAGAGAGACACATCTATTGGTTGCCTTCCACAGGCGCCCAACCAAGGCCAGGGATCAAGCCTGCAACTGAGGTACATGTCCTTGACAAGAATTGAACCCGGACCCTTCAGTCCGAGGGCAAATGCTCTATCCACTGAGCCAAACCAGCTAGGACAGATGTTTCTTTAATTCTTATCACAAAGTATATTTCTTTGTGCTTACATATCACATAGAACTGTTTCCAAGTTCATGTTTTTATTTTAATCAACACTTAACATTTTCCTCAGTGAGGATTATGTTGTCTGGTTGGTTTCTCCCATGCATCTAAAAGGTCCCACACTGTTAGTCTGAAGTCCATGATGGAGTGCCACCACCAGTGCGTGGCCACTACTGCCCTGTACTTAACACAATGAGAGCAAATACAAAACAGTTCATGATAAAAAACGCTTAAGAAGATGTGGATGAATCAAGCATGTCAAACTCAAAAGCTAACATGGGCCAAATAAACAAGGTTTAAGTTTATGTGGGCCGCAAAAAAAGAAAAGCTTCAATTTTCATAGAAACTTAGGTTTACAATTCTGGTTAAGGGCATTAAAAAAAAAAAGAAAGAAACATAGGTTTATTTCGATAGAGATATGCTGAATACAAAGGGCTGAAACAAATGAGCAATCATTAACATAAAATAAAAGAACATTTTAATAAAAATTAACATTTTTTTCTTGAACATTAACTTACCAGACACTATAACTGCACAAATTAATAAGTATAACGCAAATAAACCTATTTTTCTTGTTCTCCGAAAGCAAAATATTTCCTGTTGCACACACCAAACAAGTCAGTACAAGACTAATGACGTGGCAATCGGCTGCTAAAATATTCGCTGCTAATATCAGTGGAGAGAAATGGTGCGCCTGCGTGTAAGGTGTGTAAGAGAAATGAATGCAACACGATTATAGAGTCAGTCATTAGCGAACATTGTAGTCCATTATTAATAATTACGTATAACAGGATATTGTAAAAATTAAATTACGAAATTTTTTTAAAAATATATTTTATTGATATTTTTTTTTCAGAGAGGAAGGGAGAGGGATAGAGTTAGAAACATCAATGAGAGAGAAACATTGATCAGCTGCCTCCTGCACACCTCCTACTGGGGATGTGCCCGCAACCAAGGTACATGCCCTTGACCAGAATCAAACCTGGGACCCTTAAGTCTGCAGGCTGACGCTCTATCCACTGAGCCAAACCAGCTAGGGCAAATTACGAAATTTTTATTAAAACATTTCTTACATACTGTTATATTGGCTGGGCCACAAAAATATTTTCTGTGGGCCATGAGTTTGACATGCTTCCTGTATATTATACACTAGAGGCCCGGTGCACAAAATTTGTGCACAGTAGGATCCCTAGGCCTGGCCAGCGATCAGGGCTGATCAGGGCCTTTTGGCTGCCAGCTGGGGCCTGCCTTCGCTCCGCGCCAACCCCTGGTGGTCAGCGCATGTCATAGTGAGCGATCGAACTCCCAGTCGAACTCCTGAGGGGACACTTTGCATATTAGCCTTTTATAAATATAGATGGGGAAACCCTAGGAAAAAGAAAGAACTGCCAGGGATGGGAAGGAAAAACTGAAATACAATGGGCAAAGAACAGAGGAGAGGAAAATAGAAAAATAGAAAAATAGAATGAGGGAGAAGGTTGGAAGCAACAGAGGAAGAAAGAGAAGCTAAAGAGTAAAGGCACAACAAATAACCAAAAATATTGCTCTGTCCTATGAACTTATTGCAAATATATTTTTGGAAGTATTATGGATTTTAAAAGCTAAGCAAATAGATCAATTAGAGATTAAATGTTCTAAAGTATAAGTATGTTTAAAGACAAAATTTCCTTACCTTGACGAAGGTAGTAAATCACTAAGTTTAGCCTTGCTTCAGGAATGACATCAACCAGGGGAGGCAAAACCTGCAAAGCCCCTTCACCTCCTCGGAAGACAACCTAGAGATGGAGAAGCTGAGTTATTATGGCAACGAGTACAAATATATTTATTGGTGGAAATGTTTCAGGAACTGAGACTTGTAAGTGGATACATGATGCCAACTCAAATAGCCCTGGGAATCAGTTAATATCTTGAGAACTTTTATCATTCACTGAATGTATTATTGCCTAACTATTACCTGTGCTTCTAACCATTCACCTTTCCCCTCCCCTCTGATTTTGATCCTTGTATTTAAATATTTCCTTTTTTACCCTATCTAAAATCTATCTTCACTATCAGTCTTATACTGTTATCCTCCTTTATTTTTATTCATAGCATTTATCACTTCATTTTATGTATTTTGTATCTGTTTATCTGTTACACCCTCCAGCATATAAGCTCCATATGACAAGGAGCTTTGCATTTACTGTGTACTCCCAGCCCCTAGCACTGTATCTAGCATAGTTGGTATTCATTATTATTTGATTTTAGAGCGAGAGGAAGAGAGAGAGAGAAACATCGATGTGATAGCGACACATCAATCGGCTGCCTCCTGCACAACTCCTACTGGGGATTGAACCTGCAACCCAGGCATGTGCTCTGACCGGGAATCGAACTGGCAACCTTTCGGTACACAGGATGATGCCCAACCAACTAAGCCACACTACTAGGGCAGAATGAATATATTTTTGAAGCTCTCTATACACATGACCTTGACCTCACTTAAAAAAAAAAAAAAGCATTATCTAGCCCTAGCTGTTTAGCTCAGTTGGTTGGGTGTTGTCCAGTTCACCAAAAGGTTGCCAGTTTGATTCCTGGCCAGGGCATATGCCCAGGTTGCTGGCTCAATCCCTAGTAGGGGGTATGCAGGAAGCAGCTAATGGATGTTTGGATCTCACCTTGATGTTTTCTCTCCTTCTCCCTTCCTCACAGTATAAAAATCAATAAAAAAATTTTTTAAAGCTGTCCTGGCTGGTATTTCTCAGTGGTTAGAGCATCGGCCCATACACCAAAGGGCCATGGGTTCAATTCCCAGTCAAAAGCACGTATCTGGATTGAAGGTTCCATCCCCAGTCCCAGTCGGGAGGCAATCAATTGATGTGTCTCTCTCTCATCACTGTTTTTCTCTCTTTCTTCCTTCCTCCCTCCCTTCCACTGTCTAAAAATCAATGGAGCCCAGCCAGTGTGGCTCAGTGGTTGAGAGTCGGCCTATGAACCAGGAGGTCATGGTTTGATTCCTGGCCAGAGCACACGTCCAGGTTGTGGACTCGATCCCCTGTGT